GAAATATGACAAAATTGGAATATTGGACAAAATATTTTTACGCATAAGTTTTATCAAAAATGTGTGCAAATACATGTTGCGTATTTAATTCTGCTAATAATAGCAAAAACAGTAAGTGTAGTTTTTATAGGTTCCCAAAGATTACATATAAATTAGAGAAAAAAGAAGATGAATTCGTGATATTAATATGAAAAAGTAAATATCACATAATTTCATTTTTATGCAATTGAAATAGGAACAATTTAAATTATTTACCTTGAATGATATTTCATAAGGCTTCAAGCTAACTGCAGATGACTTTAGCTTTTATATCATAACTTTTATTATTATTGTTTTTAATTATATGCTTTTTTGCGTGAAAAACTTGATTTGCCAGTACTAGATTTTTCGCTTTCTTTTCCGTTTGGAGTTGAAAATATATATTATGATGAATTTTGAGAAACTCAGTTTTTAATACTACATTTATTTTGTACATAAACTGAAAAAATATAGTTAAAAAACTAATTTATTAATAATTATCAATTTCGCATGTATTTAACAATGTCAAACATATGTCATATATTTAACCTGAAAATTGGGACTCCAAAATTGTCAGATGAAGGCGGTAGGTGTCGCATCAGTCACGCATGGAGCGAATAAGCCATATGTGATAACTGGTAAAATGCACTGATTGAATACTTTCGTTAGCATATTATGAGGGAACTTTTTATTTTTTAGAATATATGATAGTTTACCAAATGAGGCCCATGCTAGTCTAGTTCTTCTTTTTATTTCTTCTGTTTGATTGTCCCTGTTCAGCTTTATTATCTGTCCTAGGTATATGTATTCTGCCACCTGCTCTAATTTAATCTGTTTCACTACTACATATTTCTAATTGGTCTTCTTGGTTTGTCATAGTCTTGGGTTTACTATAGTTGATCTCTAGACCTACCTCTGTCGCTTTTCTATGTGTCTCCCTGCCTGATTCCTCTTTCGAATTTTATTGGTTCTGTAGCGTGTTCGTTCGTCAATTTTATTGTGGTACTCGCATTTTTGTATATGTTTGTTATTAGGTCCGTGTACCTGTAATCAATTCTGCCGTTCTGTAGTGAGTTTTTGATGGCCCAATGTTCTATGCTGTCAAACGCCTTTCGGAAGTCTATGAATGCCATGTATAATGGGATTTGATACTCGTTCGACTTTTCAATCAGTATTTTTACTGTTAGCAGATGGTTGCTAGTACTAAAACCCTTTCTGAATCCCGCTTGTTCTCTTGCTTGGTATTCGTTAAGCTTAGTTGTTAGTCTATTTGTTATGATCTTCGTTAGTAGTTTAAATACAACACTTAGTAATGTTATAGGTCTATCGTTTTCTAAGTTCTTTCGGTCACCTTTTTGAACATTAATAGTGTCTCCGCATCGTTCCAGCTATCGGGTATTTCTTTTGTGGTCAATATTTTGTTCATGAGGATATGTAGGACTTCTCTAGTTGTTTTCCCTACTCTCTTCAGCATCTCTGCAGTTATTCCATCTTTTCCGGGTGACTTATGGTTTTTTAATTCTTGAATTGCTTTCTTGATTTATGTTTTACTTATTTCTGGTTGTAGGTCAGAGTTGATACTTTTGCGTTTTTCTCTTGGTTTCTTTTATGTTTTTTCTAATTGTTTTATTGATTTCAGTATATTCTAGTGTGCTTCTTTTGTCCTGTTCAAGTAGGCTTCTTCTTGTCTTCATCAGGTTTTCTACTTCTTCTGAGATATAATTGTCCTTTTTTGTCGTCGATTTTGCAATTCTTTCCCCGGCCTGTAACAATGTAGTTGTTAGTATTTCATTTATTTCGTTTGTTTCTTTATTTATTGTTTATTATTGTTATTTATGTTTGTTTCTTTCTGAATTTGTTTCGTTTTTGTTACTTCGTTTATTTCTTTCCCTTTTGTCCTCTGATCATTCTCCACATTTATCTTTGTGTTCCGTAGAAGTCGTGTTCCATCTATCTTGAGAATCTCTCTCAACGTCTGAGCAAAGTATTCGTTTTATTTCATATTCGTTTATAGTGATTATATGCCTGCTGTATTTGTTGTGTTCTGTATTGTTATAGAGCTTTCTTATTTTCTGCACATGTTGTCTTCACTTCCTCTCTAAACCATGGGGTTTTCTTTTTTGATACGCTCTTGTTTTTTTAGATAACATTTATAATTATAATTTCTAATATTCATAAGAGCGAGACCCTTTTACTAAGTTAGCTTCTGACGATAGATGTGAAAGTAGAGTTGAGCTTAAAATTGTGCATGATTAGGTTTTCATAAAATCGCTTATTGTTCTATTTAAAAGAAGTTCACACTTTTGGCGTGAGATTCATACTAAATAAATGATTGAATGCAACAGTCATAGCATTTAACCCAACAAGTCAAAGGATATACCGAATTAGATTAGAGAGCATCTTTTGACTAGACAAGCGTTAATAACATCCATGCTCCTACTGAAAATAAAGAGGATGAGAATAAAGACCTATTTAAGAAACTAGAAAGTACTAACAGACATTGTCAGAAGATGACATAAAAATTATCATAAGATATTATTACTAACGACATAAAAATTATCATAGTAAAGTTAATGTTGGTGAAGAGAAAATTTCAACAATTGGCAAGCATAGTCCCCAAAAGATCAGCAACTCAAATGGTTAACAATAATAAAAGTTACAAAGAATCGATGGAAAACTAAGGATAAAAGAAGAATGGACTTAATGCGAAGAAGCAATGCATAAAGCGGTAGTATCTACAAGGCTAGAAGAAATGAATAATGGTTGAATAAAAGTATAAAAGTGTAGAGCCTTACATTAGCAGAAAAACGAAGCCTAACATGGATTAGATTTAGGAAAGGACTGGGAACACGAGATGCACTGTTTGCAGTAAGTGTTCTTTCTCAGAGATGCTTAGATATTAATCAGGAAGTATATGCCTGTTTCATTGATTTTGAGAAGGCATTTGACAGAGTGCAGCATAATCGGCTTAAAGAAATTTTATTGAATAAAAACAGACAGTAGAGACATTAGAATCATCTGTAACCTCTATTGGAACCAAACAGCAAAAGTGAAAGTTGAAAACGAACTGACCGAGGATATCCAGATTCGCCGTGGGGTCCGCCAAGGGTGTATTCTATCACCCTTGTTATTCAATTTACACAGTGAAGCCATCTTAGATTTAGCGCTTGCCGAGATCAGTGAGGGCCTTATAATAAACGGTGAGCCACTTAATAACATAAGATATGCTAACGACACCGTCCTTCTGGCAGGAACACAAGAAGAACTGCAACACCTTGCTGAACAACTAAATATATATTGCAACGATTATGGATTAAAAATAAATTTGAAGAAAACCAAGTTCATGGTATTTACAAAAGCACAAAACATCAAAGTTAAGCTAGTACTAGATAATACAGAAATTGAACAAATATCTTCGTACAAATACCTTGGAGCATGGATCACAGAAGATACTGATCAGACAACAGAAATAAGATGCCGTATTGAAATTGCACGGTCAACTTTTAATAGAATGAGAAAATTTTTTTGTAATCGCGATATCATTATATCGCTCCGGATAAGAATGCTTCGATGTTATATTTTCTCTACCCTTTTGTATGGAGTTGAAGCTTGGACACTTAAAAAATCCAACATTAAAAACCTAGAAGGATGCGAAATGTGGTGTTACCGACGTATTTTGAAAATATCATGGACGGATCGCAAAACAAACGAACAAGTTCTCGAACAACTAGGAAAATGCGAAGTTTTAAATTCCATAAAAATCAGGAAATTGGAATACTTGGGGCACATGATGAGAGGTGAAAAGTACGAACTACTAAGGAATATAATGCAGGGTAAAATCAAAGGTAAAAGAAGCGTAGGAAGACGTAAAATCTCGTGGCTACGCAATCTCCGTGAATGGTTTGGATGCAGTTCAATTGAACTATTCAGGCGCGTAACCAACAAAATTATAATTGCCAGAATGATTTCCAATCTCCGATAGGAGTGGAACTTGAAGAAGAAGAAGAACATGGATAAAATAGTAAAAGCACAAAAAACAAATGGATTAAAAGCAAAACGAAAGTAAAAGACGCAGGAGAACATGCTGCCAAATTAAAATGGATCTTCGCAGGACACAATGCCCGATTGAAGGATACGTGATGGAACCACGAAATACAACAATGGAGACCATGGTTAGGAAAGAGAAGCAGAGGAAAACCACAAATGAGATGGGCGGATGATATTAAGAAGATCGGAGTACACAACTGAAAGCAAGTGGCGCAAAATAGAAAACACTGAATTGATTTGGGGGAGGTCTATGTCCAAAGAATTACTTAAGGCTGAAGAAGAAGAATGTTAAATATGGAACAGAAATAAACGAAATTTACGTAGAAGAACCAAAAAACGGCTTAAACGGCTCAAGCGAAAAATTCTAAGAATAATATATGCAGCAATAAGAGAGCAATAGTTTCGCATGGTTACTAATTTTCATTTAAAGGTCCGAGATGACATTTTTTTGCCTTTATTTTTAAGTATTTGAGGATTTTTTATCATGGTTTTTATTTTGAGCCATTTTATTTTATGTCATTTGTTTATATCCCATCTTTGTTGTTTATACCTTTAATCTGTATTTTTCTAGTTGTGGTTTTATATATTTTTTAATGCTTTCTAAACTTTTCTATCTTCTCCACTTATTTAAAATATTGTTTAATTATTTTCTACTGTTTTTATTTGATAATAAACTAAAAATGTCTTGGGTTGGAAAAAAATTTCATCAAATTTACATATTTTAATTAAAATTCGTGTTCATTAGTACACAACCTATAAAAATTCAGAAAAAACCTTTACATTGTTGAAATTAATTAAAAGTCCAAAAACAACAAATTCGTTACAATGTTTCTCGCACGCCCATGTTAATAATATCAATATTATATCTATATGAAACTGAATCATGAACTTTGATTCTTACGAATAACTGTCTTATCCAGTAGATAAAGAATCTACTAAAAGCCGGTATCTCCTCCAACAAAAACACTCTGTATGTTTGTGTCCTCCGGAACAAGTCATATTTGTTTATAATATTAATCCCTTTGTTAACGGTGAAAAGTGCAAGGAACAATAACAAAGGTGAGTGCTACGACATAAACAATTACTGGTTTTTTGATTATTATTTATACTAAATATTAAAAAAAATTATTTGATTAGTCTTAAATTTCGTTGTTTTCTTCATTTTTAAATTTTTTTCTTATTTTTGTAAATGAAATTTTTGTTATAAACAAAGAATTTGAAATCAGTATTCTAATTTTACATTGTTATTGGTAAAGCAAAACGAAAAAACAACTTAAATTAACAGAAAATACTTTCTTGGATACGCACAATAAATGCAGAACAAAAGGTGCCCAAAAAAGAAAGGTAATAGAAACTACGGATTTGAGACTTGGTGGTTTTCATCAATACGTTGGTGAAGTTAGCTTGGAAATTGATCACAATAGACACAACATTACTGTTTTGTGGAATTAATATTAGTACCTTTTTTCTGGAACTACAACTAATATCGTTAGTTACAAGGGGTGTCCAGTAAAACGAGCAACAAAGAACGAGTGGATTTTTTACTGACACCTCCATATACTTAGGATCATGCCTAACAGAAGACGGAAATTAGATAAAAGAAAAGATTAAAAATGAAACTGGAACAAAACCATGAAGTGGACATATCCAGTAGTGGCTAGTATACCTGTTGAATACAAAGCATGTGGTGTTCGTGTGTATTAAGGTATCAAAAAATGCTTATTAAAAGCTTAAAACTTTATTTTAAAGAAGATCTTTTCGGAATTTAAATCATTCCATCATCATCATCATCATCATCATCTTTGGCTCGACAATCCTCTGTGGATCTTGGCCTGCTCTAAGATTCGTCGCCATTCTGTTCGGTTTTTGGCAACATTTTGCCATCTTCTGATTTTTAATATTCGTAAGTCGGTTTCTACTCCATCTAACCACCTAATTCGCGGTCGGCCTTTACTTCTTTTTCCTACAGGTGTTCCTGTGGTTAGCTTTTTAGCAATTGTATTTTCTGGCATTCGTATTATGTGTCCAGCCCATCTAAGTGGCTGTGTTTTAATGAACGTTATGACATCTGGCTCATCAAAGAGCTGATACAATTCAAAATTATATCTTCTGCGCCACTGCCCTTGGTCGTTTACAGCTCCAAATATTTTGCGGAGTATTTTACGCTCAAATATTCCCAAAAGTCTTTCATCTTTCTGCGTTAGAGTCCATGTTGATCCATATGTGAGGACCGGCCTCAGCAATGTTTTGTATATAATAATTTTAGTTCTTCTTTGAATGTTTCTTGAGTGGAAATGCTTTTGGAGTCCATAGTATGCCCTATTTGTAAGATTTATTCGTCTTTTGATTTCTTCGCTTGTTTTATTGGTAGCAGTCAATAGCGACCCAAGGTATGTGAAGTTGTCAACACGTCCAAAGGTATGACTTCCAAAGACTGTTTCTCGTTCCTCATTTGCTATCGGATCCTTTGTAACCAACATGTACTTGGTTTTGTCTTCGTTGATGACTAGACCGGCCTGTTTCGCCGCTGTTTCCAATTCTAGGAGATATTGCTTAACATCTCGCTTACTATGTCAATGCCATCAGCATATGCTAAGACTTGTATCGATCTATTGTAAATAGTACCGCCATCCCTAATTCGTGTATCTCGGACTGCCTTTTCTAAGGCAATATTAAATAGGAGGCAAGCAAGAGCATCTCCTTGTCTGAGTCCATCCTTTATCTCAAAGAATCTAGAACTCTCTTCCTGTATTCTAACAGTGGCTTCTAAGTTAGACATTGTCATTCTCGTTAGTTGGATAAGTTTCTCTGGTATACCAAACTCATGCATTGATTGGTATAGCACTGTTCTCTTGACACTGTCGTATGCGGCCTTGAAGTCGACAAATAGGTGATGGGTTTCAATATTGAATTCTAATGCTTTCTCGAGAATCTGGCTTATTGAATGAATCTGGTCAATTGTTGATTTTTCTGGAGTGAATCCAACTTGATATTTACCAACTATGCCCTGCAAATTTGATCAACTCCTGGTGATTTATTATTTTTAAGATTTTTATTGGCTTGGGCAACGTTTTCGATGGTAGGTGGTCTTTCGTTTGGGTTGAAAGGATTCCAATCATTTCGATTTGCCATCATCAGTTTAATAAAAAGTTGTTAAAAGCATTGCTTGGCCACAGAAAAACACTAGAAGGACATCAGTAATAAAAAAATCCTAGTGGAATTTACAAAGGTAAATGCAATAGACCGTTAACTTCAGTAATTAATAAAAAAAAACTACAACTGGTGGCATTTAACATGTCCTTTGTTGAGCCACACCAGCTCCTGGTCAGATTGCCTGGTCCAGTTGTCAGATTCTGTAGGTTTCTTTGGCCTGTCGATTTACTGGCCTTCATGTATTTGGTTTTTATTTCGTTAATGTTTAGGCCACTGTTTTGTGCCGCTCTTTCTATCGCAATAAATGCTTCTATCATCCCTTTTTCGCTTCTAGCTATGATATCAAAATCATCTGCAAATGCCAATATTTGTACACTTTTTGTTATTATTGTTCCTCTAGTGTTAACTTTTGACTCCCTAATTATTTTCCTACCTAATTTGATGTTGAATAGAATACAGGATAGGGTATCTCCCTGTCGTAGGCCCGTTCTCACATGTAATTGTAATTGTATTGTAGTTGAGTTGGAATATTAAACTCTTTCATGGATCAGAAATTCTCGATGGATACTATCATAGGCACTCTCAAATAGGCGCTATTTGGTAGTAAAAAAGCGGTCATGCGCATTACGTGACTGGTTATTGCTCTCACTTGACTATTTGTTTTAGCAAATTTTTCAGCTTTTCTACCAGTTTTTGTTTGATTGTAGAAATTGTATTTAGTTTAATTACATCATGTCGGTCATTTCTGGAGTCTTGCTGTAGTTTATAATTATTTTGTTGCTCATTGTTAAATGGTAATAGATTAATTAGAATCTTAAAATTTTGTGCGAGTTAGAGGAAAATAATAATAGAGGAAAATACCATCGTTTAAAATTAGAGAATACAAAGGCACTTATCGATACTTACCGATAAAAATCTACATCATAGTTTCTAAAGATGTTGTTATTACATATTATAATATATAATATTGTTTTATATGTGATTCATGCTGGGTCAAATGACCCATTAAAGATCTCCCATGGGCTTGTAGACTATTAGTTTATTTTTACAAGTCAATCACTTTTCGACCAAAGCCTGTATTCTGATAAGGGTCCAGATGCAAAACATTTACGTAATATATCTTTTTATCATGTACTTGCAAAAACAGCTTAGTTGATAGAGTAAGCAACAAAACAGAAAGTTGGTGGATTTACGAAACAAACTGTGGTGCCTAGCTTCTAATTATTATCATCCACTTTATCGTGTTTAAGTTCAAAATTGTTGACCCATAATCGTTTATTTCGGGATAGATAAAATATATTGTTTTTATCTTACTACTCCATGTATCTAATGTACTATAAGATACTCAAAAATAATGTGAACCATGACATTGTTTCGATTTATCTATGAATATGCTCTATATTACTTATTAATGCTGTTAAAATGTAAAGAGGTTAAAATATTGTATTTGTGATACTAATTTAATCATCATTTTATTAGTTTGGATTCAGTAAAATTAGTTCCATGACTGAAAATCATTGATTAAATAACATTTAATTACATAACACCAGTTTGTCTGCATAGGAGTCAAGGCAAGTTCACACAGGTGAACTTTAAAGAGTTCTCCCCCGAAAAAAATTAGAGAAAGAGAGATAGAAATGATTACAAAGGTCTTGAACTCAAGGGAAAGAGGCTTTGAAAAAATAGAGAAAATCCTAGAAATTTAATGGGAAGAAGATCACTATAAGGTTACCAAATCAGGAAAAGGAAATAAAGCATCAGGCGACTTGGTTCTGGTTATGTAACCTGGAATTTTCAGTGAGGAGGAAAATTTTCCACAACCTGATAAAGAAAAAACCGGAACTGGGAATATGTATTGAAGGTACATATAGATCAGGACACGTGGAATACTTCCAACTCAATACTATGACCACAATTACAAAGAAAGAAGGGCCAGGAAGAAAAGAACCGAGGAATCCGCCAGACCATTTTTATGGTCTCTGTGGAAAAAGGGGAGACGGAAATGGATGGGGACAAGAGACTACTGGCAATTCTGTCTAAATTGAGAGAAGATTGAGATTTGAGATTTGACTGAAAGTATTAGAATTCTTGGGTGGTCTGAACGATATTCGAATATTATTTAGATTTTCAAGCAAAAACTGCAACGGAACTTTTGGCGGCATTTCGATAACATTTTTTAAACGGATAATAACCTAAGGGATAAGGGATATTTTTTCGGTAAAATATTTTTCCGCAAATCGTCAGGAAATTTTGACATTCCTGTCAAAATTTCTTGAAGAAAAAGTCAGGACTTCCTAACTGTAAGGAAATGTCATTTCCTTACTGTAAGGAAATGATATTTCCGTACAGTTGTTAGTGTTCTACATAAATGATAGAAAACACATTGCTTATAAGGAATTAATTTATATTTTGAAAACATCAAGTCATTGCTGAATACATTTTTAAGATCAATTTGTTATATTTACAGTAATTTGACAGTTAGTACAACTGGAGGAACACCCTTAGAACTATGAGAAACATTTTGGACAACATGCAGGGTGGAAGTGTCATTTTGTTGAATATTTTGTACTGTGAAAATTTTATTTGCCACCTCAACCTTATTGTTAAGCGATTCTTCGATATATCCTTCAGCAACGTTTGATGACTTCCATCCGCCATGCCTCTTTAAACTAGTTATGTCGGCACCAGAGTCAACCAATATTGTTGCAGAAGACCGACGAAAGCAGTGACCAGTATATTCTGTCGGATTTACCAAGTTCAAATAAGTAGCAATTATTTTGGGCATTTTTCTAAATTGATGAATTCCTACCACTTGTCTACAACCCTTTCCGCTTTGATATTTAAAGAAAAATCGGTCACTGTTCATATTTTCTGGTCTTAACGAAACATACTTTCGATAAACATTCAAGTAGATCTGATTAATTACAAATGATCTTGGTTTGTTGGTTTTCGAATCAGGTATGCTGATTAAAAGCTTAGATTCTAAGTCTTCTATGTCGTGTACAGTCATTCGGACTAACTAATCCATTCTACAGGCCCCAGAAATACCAAATATTACAGCCACCTAAAAAATAAATAAAGCTATAATCTAAATAGAAATTAAAACCTTGTAAATTACCTTAATCATTAAATTTTCTTTATCTGGAGCTTCCTGTATAAATTTTTCAATTTCTTCCTTCGTTAAAATCTTAGATTTCTTTGCCCTATAACCTTGAGCTTGCCGTTTCAATAAAGAACGAAGTTTTGAGTATGTAGATATATCTACATTGTGTTTAAGTGCAAGGGTTGACTTCAGCATTGAATAATTGGCTCATAATGTTGAAGATTGTATCTACAAAGGTCTAGGAAGTATGCCATTACAACATTTTCTGAGAAAGAACTCGTATTTTTACTCATGCGATAATCCATAAAACGTCTGTATGCATTTTCGTACTTTTCTCTTGATTTCTTTGGCAATAATTCTAATGAAGCAGTATTCACTGCCTCAACCAGCTCTGGAGGAGTCCCAGGAATGGAAATTTCATCATCACTTGTCATTTTACTTTCGAGAACACCAGCAATTAAATTTATAATCGTCAAGTTTGACAATTCAACCTCAATACGTTTCCATAGTAACCCAAGTAATTTTATTAGGAATTTCAAAGCACCATTTATTTGGGAATAAAATTATCGCGTTTTTTTTTTAATCAATCAATATCTGTCGAATTTTAAACGATTTGCGGAAAAATAGTATGTTTACCTCGTAGGAAAAGCCACATTCCTGGACTCTGTGTTGCTAAGTCTCGGCTTGCGCCTCGACTTAGCAATCTTCACAGTCGTCCAGGAATGTTAAGCTTTTCCTACCCGGTAAACAATGTACTATTAAAGGGATTACAGCGGGTAGATGAACCTTTTTAGGTGATAAAACGAAAATTATATTACCACAGAAATTAAACGTTTTTATAGAATTTAGTTAAATAAACGGAAGTCAGGCAAAATGTAGCGGTCTGTTTTTAGATTCGTTGCAGGCATAGGAAGACGTAGTTTTAGTTTGATACCGAAGTAGGTGCATAATACCTCGAATAAAAAAGAAAAAATCATAAAGAATTGGGCTAAGAATTGTTAAAATTATGGATTAATTTCATATGTAAAGAACACTTGCATCGAGTAACTATAAAACAAACATACTAGCGTTTTAAGCGGTGTATATCGAGGTATTAATTCTCAAAACGATGTCTGCAAATTATATTTAACTTATTGATATGCTTTATCTATCTAAAAATATTTTTTTTTATAGATGGCATCGCCCTTTTCCTTGAACCAGGGCCCCTTGGACGAGGAAACCCAAGCCATCGCCAAGGAGGAACTACGAGAGACTCCAGAAAATATGAAAGCGGGAATAGAGAAGTTGAGGGAATACCTGAAAAATGACGAATCACTTAATTTTAAAGATACCGATGAGTACCTGACCATTTTCCTTAGACCTTGCAAATGGGATCCCAAAGGCGCTTATGAACTGGTAAGTTTATTTTTAAATGAAAAGACTGATATGTTTTATACACACTTATGACAAATCAAAAGATGGAAAAGGAAAATATTTTGGAAGTGTGTAAACAATTTTAATTTCTAGCTTACTTTCGGTTTACAAAGCCATCTTCAGAGCTATGGTCAAATATCAAGGTATCCTACATATGGTACGAAAATAACAGAAAAATGCTGGTTATTTTTAATTTTTTCTTCTTTGTCAATGAAAAAACACAAAAAGAACTGTACACTGGACTCCACAAAAACACATTAAAACATTTTTTGGTTATGATGGTACGGGTGTCAGAATCCGACCATTTATTGTAGTTGAACCAGTAGATAGAATGCAGAAGCAGGATTCCATTCGTTTGTGAGCAAAGTATATCAAAAATAAACGACAGTATTTACATAATAACAAAACTATTGATGCTCGAATCTCATCTGGGTGGAGAAATTTTCATTTATTAAAAATTAATGAATGAAAATAATTTCTATCCTTGTGCGATCAGTACTCACCAGAGGGACCTCAGACCTTCGGATACAATTAGCGTCTCTTAGCAAAGACAATGACGTCGACTTTGCTAAGTATCTTACTCTACACACACACACACACTACACTAGGTACCTAACTGTACCATGCCAATGATCATAGTTGTCGAGGCATTAACGCAATAAAAAAAAACTATTGATGAAGTAGTGAAAAATTTAGTAATATAATTACATAATTACCAAAAATGGTTCTAAATTTATTTTCATAGACCCGATCAATAAATAGAATTTAAGATAACAAATAATAAAAAAGATAAATTCCTATATCCAAAGTAATTCCAAATTTATTTCAGATAACATTTTAAAATATGTATCTATTTTTGCTTGTTCGTTGAAAATGTGCGTGCTCATACCAATTGTATGCATATTCAACTATGATAAAAAATTGTTTAAAACTCACAATGTTTCAAAAAAGTATTGTTAAGGTATCATATAATAATATTATATTCAATAAGAATTAAAGGGACTCCTTAGAATGGCTAAGTCTGGAATTGTCAAGTTTTCTTGACGATAATAAGTTATTTATGTCTAACAAAAACTTCAATTGCTACATGATGAAAATGCTAAAGTAATATTTGAAGTAGAGGACAAACTTAAAGAATGGGAAAATTACGTCACGAACCTATTCGAAGACGATAGGAGTAGTTCACCTCCCGATATTATGTAACATTTAAAACGTTACATTTTTGTTCTTATTAATTTCAAAGTACTTTCCACTATTTTTTGCTCATACTATTTGATTTTCATTGATAATAAGTTCTTTTTCCTTTGTTTGTATTCCTATATTTTATTTCAATATTTTCCTATTACAAATAAATCCGCTGATTAATTTCTTAAGTCCCCTCGTAGTCCTACCTTCGCTTACTTTGTCGTACAAGAAACAGAAACCCCACTCCTAAATAATTTACTTCGATCAATCCGATCCGACTTAATTTCTTTTTAAAATAAACCAGCAAACGAGAAGGTATTATTAAAAAAATAAGTCCTCGTGGTCAGAAACTTCCAACGGTCTGGCCACCTTGGTTTTTATTCAAGAGAATCCATCTTGATTTTTATTCAAGAAAATCCACCTTGATTATGATATCAGAAAATTTACATTTACATGGATTTTTTGGGTCGAAGAATACGAAAATGGAATTGTTTTTTTTTTTGGAATAAGAAATCCATCTCGATTTTGAAAATCCGCATGGCTTTGGATTGGAGAGGGATCCACATGGTTTCGGCTTAGCGGCATGGTTTTTGCAGACATTGTATGGTCTGAGTTGAGAAGAGAACAGCAGGAGGATTTCTCATAGAGTAGAGCTAAGTTTCTTTATTTCTTGAGATTTTGTATATAGATGCTTAATTTCCTGTTGTTAGAACCTCAATTTAATTGTTATTACATTTTGATTTATTAAAATATAAATAAATAAAGATATGTGTTAAAGAAATTATTTTATTAATAATTCCCGATTTCTCAAATTAAGTTAGTTTATGCCGAACATCACCCCTGAGGGGTTTCAATGTGCAATGGGTGAGCTAGCCCCACGTTGGGCGCCAATTGTGTAACGGCTAGCTCACCCATTGCACATTGAAACCCCTCAGGGGTGATGTTCGGCATAAACTAACTTAATTTGAGAAATCGGGAATTATTAATAAAATAATTTCTTTAATACATATCTTTATTTATTTATATTTTAATAAATCAAAATGTAATAACAATTAAATTGAGGTTCTAACAACAGGGAATTAAGCATCTATATACAAAATCTCTTCTCAACTCGGACCATACAATGTCTGCAAAAACCATGCCGCTAAGCCGAAACCATGTGGATCCCTCTCCAATCCAAAGCCATGTGGATTTTCAAAATCGAGATGGATTTCTTATTCCAAAAAAAAAAACAATTCCATTTTCGTATTCTTCGACCCAAAAAATCCATATAAATGTAAATTTTCTTATATCATAATCAAGGTGGATTTTCTTGAATAAAAATCAAGGTGGATTCTCTTGAATAAAAACCAAGGTGGCCAGACCGTTGGAAGTTTCTGACCACGAGGACTTATTTTTTTAATAATACCTTCTCGTTTGCTGGTTTATTTTAAAAAGAAATTAAGTCGGATCGGATTGATCGAAGTAAATTATTTAGGAGTGGGGTTTCTGTTTCTTGTACGATAAAGTAAGCGAAGGTAGGACTACGAGGGGTCTTAAGAAATTAATCAGCGGATTTATTTGTAATAGGAAAATATTGAAATAAAATATAGGAATACAAACAAAGGAAAAAGAACTTATTATCAATGAAAATCAAATAGTATGAGCAGAAAATAGTGGAAAGTACTTTGAAATTAATGAGAACAAAAATGTAACGTTTTAAAGGTTACAATTATTAACTGCGACGGAACCCTAATAATACGTTCGGAGGTTATAAAGGCCATACAATCATCAAAAGATGGCAGAGCGACTGGTCCTGATGAAATTACAACTGAAATATAAATTAAGCTTATAAATGATAGCAATGTTTTAGAGGCTATAACTTCGTTTTTCAATACCATTTATACCAGCGGACAACTACCTAATGGTTGGTCTACTCTAATTCACTGTTTATAGCTCTACCTAAGAAGACAACAGCAAAAACCTGTGCTGAATATAGAAACATCAGTTTGTGAAACCACTTATTGAAAATTTTTAAAGGTAATTCATGGTCGTATCTACAATAAATGCGAGGAATACCTGGATGACACTCGGTTTGGTTTCCGTAACGGGCTTGGAACGAGAGAGGCACTGTTTGGAATGAACGTACTTACTCAAAGATGTCGTGATATATCTGTAGACATATACTGTTGTTTTATTGACTTCGAAAAGGCATTTGATCGTGTTAAGCACTCTATATTGATCGAAGCTCTAAAATACATTGGCTTGGACGGCAGAGATGTTCGAATAATTACAAATTTATATTGGAATCAAACAACATCAGTTTTAGTAGATGGTGTGGAATCACAGGCTCTCAATATTAAAAGAGGAGTACCGCAGGGATGCCTCTTGTCACCCCTGCTTTTTAACGTTTACTCCGAAAGAATTTTCAGAAAAGCACTTTTTCAGAAAAGCGGCATTTGAAATTACACCATAATCTTTTTTGGTGGTAGAAGTTTTTGTCTGTTGACTGGGTCGTATGCGGCTTTAAAATCCACGAATATGTGGTGGGTGTCGATTCCGAACTCAAGCGTTTTATCAAGAATCTGCTTGACTGTGAAGATTTAGTAGTAGTAACATAGTAGTTCCTAACTATTTGTTCAGCATTGGGGATTAATATTCTGTACAATACGTTGGACAATACTCTATATGCCATGCTCAGTAGGGTGATGCCTCTATAATTATCACACCATCATATCTTCCTTTTTGTGAAGAGGGTCATTACACCTAATTTCCAGTCTTCGGGCGTTTCCCTCCGTTGCCAGATTTCGGTAAACAAGTAATTCATACCACATACTAACACATAGTTAAGATGGTCGCTAAATGTGTGGGGAGGTATTGTCGATAGCCATGTAGCAGCACTTTATTTTTTGAATACGAATTAAATGATGAGATGTACTAGTATTTTATTGCATGGTTATAAAATAGTAAAAATTAAAATTGTCATTGGTGACAATCCCTAAATAGCACAAAAGTCTGGATAGCAGTAGTTGCGGATTATCTACTCGGACCTGTTGAATTGCCTCCTCGTTTAAGTGGTACTGATTAAATACAATTTCACTTTAGCAGGAATGTACGAGACTTTCTTGATAATAAGTACAAAGACCACTGGATCGGAAAAGGCGGTCCACTTGCTTGGCCAGCAAGGTCGCCGGATTTGAATCCTTGCGATTATTGTGTCAGGAGATACACAAAAGCGTTTGTTTATTCCACCTCGATACAAGATCGTGCACAACTCTGGCTGAAGATACAAGATACTTGCAACGAATTTAGAAATAACTTTGGAATTTTTGCAAGAGTTTAGCGTTTTCAAAGCAAAAGGGCAAATTTATGCTATTGGTATCATATCGTGCATCTTTCGTAACTATCTACCTTTGTTACTTGTTCTTTTATGTTAGTTTGGTTCCCTTCGTAACAAATACTTTGTTTTAAAAAACTTTTAAATTAAATTTGGTTTTAATTTGGTTTTTTTTTTGGGGAAAACGGTGTATCCTACAGACTTAAATGAAGAGTACCTTTTAGTAATAAAATACCTGAAAATTTAATAATCTAACATCATGAATGCTTAAAAGTTAAAGGCAAAATGTTGTACGTTCAAATAACCGTTGACCTACCCAAAACGGACGCCTATGACCAGTACTAGAAATTCGCAATTGATGGAATCAATTCAACTCTGGAAGATAATCGTACCAGTTTTAGTTTTTCTAAATAGCAGGTAGAATTAGGTTAAATTGTCTTAAAATTATTAAATGGCCAACTATATGGCCTAGGAGACAAAT